AAACAATAATGTACAGTATGTAGAAAATAATGTGTTTTTTTAACCTTAAACCGCATAAACACATTTCATTACACCAAAAACACAAAATAATGTTCTTTTTAGCAGCATCACATGACCCCTTTAAGACTGTGTCTTAAGAACCAGTCTGACCAACTAGCAGTTAGCCAAGTCTTATTTTTTGGATTCAATGCAGACCAATCTATGCTTTTATGTAACAGAATTAAATGCATATGACCAGCCTTAAATAAAAAAAAATATGACTAACTTTTAAGACTGGTCTAAAACTTTTATGCAACCAGCCCCCGCTTTGTCCAGCTTAAACCAGCTAAGACCAGCCAACCAGCTTGTTGCAATGCATTCTGGGATCTCCATGAAGTGTTACTGCTTTACAATATGAGTTATCTCAAAAAGCAACATAATTTTATCGCCAACTTCTTAGGTAGGTTTGAAACAGCTCTGTGTTCTGTAGGCTGACTGTTCTCTCTCTGATCTGGTTTCAGTTGGGCGTTTTATCACAAATAAACAGTCTTTGGTGTTACTGAAGAATGGGGCGTACCAGTGGGCTGCGGGAAAGCAGAGATCTCGATTGTTAGCGGTCTTAAGAAGTTCAAGCCCTCACTATCTGTGAAAACACTGTGCATGAGTCATGTGAGGCAGATGTTCGACAGACAGTCAACACCATCAGGACGCAGAGGAGCAGAAGAAGGCGTTTCGCTCAAAAACAGACAACTGAGAGTGTAACTATAAAGTACTCTGTCTGTGATCTCTGTGAGAGGGGAGACCCGAAGCAGAGAGAGAGAGAGAGGAAGAGCTGCTCGACGCTGATAGACAGAAGCTCTGTTGTCTGTCTCTCTGCTATCAGACGCATGCATGCTTACTTTAGCCGGACAGCGTGTTTGGACGAACACCGAGTGCTGCATTACTCATCTCAGATGAAAAGTTGCTCAACTCAACTCAAAAAAAAAGAAAAAAGTGCAACAACAAAAAACATCAAACTGCAAGCACCAATCAAAAGCGAAAACAGCAATACAATGAAAGCTACAAGAGCTCAAAATAATAATGCACGTATGTACTTAATATGTAAGAGTAGCACATTACTGCAAAATTCATCATTGTACTATTTAAATTTAAAGTTAAATTAATAATATGGCCATCCCCATATATTGTTGACCTTTGGCCTACTTGGTAAAAGAACTGTCTGTGAAGTGCAAACGATCGATGAATCAGTCATAATTGATTAATAGTATCATAATAACCGATGGCTTTTCTAAAACTCCAGAACTGGTGACCTGATTACTTCTCTCATTTATATGAAAAGAGCATTCAGCGACTCCTTGTGAACATATAAACTTGACAGGTTTATCTTATTAGACTCTGTACAAAAAATCGCAACATGCATCATGATTTTATTTAAAGAATAAACTGAAAGTTAAGCTTATGATGAAGCTTATGCTTAGATGATAATCACAAAATAGACTAAAATGACTGTTAACTGAATAATACCGTTCAAATGCCACAGAAATGATCATAAAATTAAAATAGATCTCATTCAATAAGCCAAATTTGTTACCATTTATAATCATATTTATATTTTTTTTTCTAATTTACTAATTAATAATTACACTGATAGTCATTATTAAATATGAGTACAAATGTTTATATTAATATTAATTTAACATTAAATTTAAATATTATATGGGTTTGATAAATATATTAAACCCAATTCTGCTCGTATCACGTATCATTGCACATTTCTGTCAAAGTAAAGTAAAGAAAGCCTCACCTGCGGCTAGACAGACTGGCAGGAGCAATCTGAATATGAGTCCACACACCACCTCCGAGGCCATCATATCACAATATAAGAGAGATCAGGTGCTGAATTGAGAAATCTGCTTAGTTTCTTCAGGTCCAGTGTTTCTGTAGAGTTCGGCCACAGCACATGATCCGCTCCGGCCCTCTGGAGCCTGCACTCAGTTCAGTCTAGTCCTCATAGTAATCAAAGTGAAGCACTGTATAATCCCGAAGATCTGGCGCAGCTCTGTTTGGTCAGGACAGGTTCCTCAGTTCTCCTCAGACATGCTTGAGTCCCCTCAGAGCAGCAGCTCGTGCGTCAGGACTCTTACCTGTTGACAGGAGATCATGGTGCTGTTCCGCGTAAACAGCCGCTTCACACGCCCCGCATCACATCAACAAGTTGCAAATGCATTCGTTCCAAGTTGGCTAGACTTCCTCCGAACCGTGTGGCATGATATATCCCAGTCCTCAGCGAGTTTCCAACTGCACGCGGAGTTTCAGAAAGTGCGCTTTTCTGAGTTGCGGAGCGTTTTGACGCGCGTTGACGCCGCACAGCTGTGCCTCACTGGCATCTGGACGCACTTTTCCTCCTCCTCGATGAACAGCCTGGAGGACCACCCTGCAACACTGACGAATAACTCCAGCGTTCAGGAGTCATGGGGAAGATGAGGGCTGGTGTTTGGAGGGGAAGGGGTGGAGGCTCCAGCGGCCCCAGGTACTGCAGCTGCTCTCTGATAGCAACACAACGCACACAAGCTTGAGAGAGGGGAAAGAAAGAAAGAAAGAACTAAAAATGAAACTTTTGGTTGTAGGTTGTCTTAGGCTATAGGTCACGTGCATTCAAATGTACACTTATATTTTAAATGATATATTTTCAATTACATTTTATAGTCAAAAATATTTGTTGTAGCGTTTTGATGTGAAATGAAATCAAGAGTATAACAGTGGCTGCAGCGCCACCTGCAGACCGTCAAAGGAATCCACCACAAGCTCTTCTATTGGATGCGAATGTGATGCGCACTGCTTTCATACAAGTCTATATATAAATTGGCTTTAATGCAGACACGTCTATGGTGTGTTATTAACAAAATAAATTAACTTGTGTGTGTGTGTGTGAAACTTTTCCATTTCATACTAGCATTTCCATGCTTATTATAAATTCTTAATTAGTTCTTGTTCTGCAGTGAAAATGTCCATAAAACAAAATAAATTGGCCCAAGAAGCAAATCTGCATATGTAGTTTAATAATCTATATCTCTAAATTGTTATTTTATTTTACTGTCCATCAGCAATTTTGCAGTATAGAATTTTGTGAAAATGTGGTCCATAATAACTCTTCCTCCAGTGAAAAAGTGTTCTGGTGTGAATCAGGAGAGAAATCTGCACAGATCAAGCAGCGTTTAAACAGCTCTAAACTAATATGTGGCTGGATTTTGATGAGAGAGACAACAGCAGATGTCCTCCAGTGAAAAAGTGCATCTGCTGTTGTCTCTCACATCAAAATCCAGCCACATATTTCTTTAGAGGCTGCTTGATCTGTGCAGATTTCTCTCCTGATTCAGACCAGAACACCTTTTCACTGGAGGAACAGTTATTATGGATTATATGGACTTTTAGTTAAAAGCGTCTTAATGCTGGATTTGTTTCAGCTTTTGTCTTCTCCAGATGTTAACTGATGGACTGGAGTGCTGTGGATTACTTGTGTATTATTGTGATGTTTTTATCAGCTGTTTGGACTCTCATTCTGACGGCACCCATTCACTGCAGAGCATCCATTGCTGAGACACTGATGCAATGCTACATTTCTCCAAATCTGATGAAGAAACAAACTCAACTACATCTCTGATGGCAAATTATCATTTTTGGTTGAGCTGTTCCTTTAATGTTACTAAGAATGTAGTTCTAGAGCAGGATTCGGTCGGGAGAAGGGACTAGTCGTAACTGAGGACACGGAGTGGCAGTAATTGTTGTTTCTTCATGGTTTAAGTATATATTAGAGTTGGCAGCTTTAACTGAATTCTGAAAGCCTTTCCAAGGCTGTGGAGCCAGAACGGAGAGTTTTCTGGATCTGAACAGACACCTGGAGACTGTGGACGGATCGCATAGTGGCTGGGCTGAAGGTGAGAATACAATTCAACTGGATTTGCCAAAATTCAGCTGTGTATTTCATTTCCAAGAGCTCTTGCATGTGAATTTAAACTGAAAATTGGTTGACCGCTGGAACCACTGGCCACTTTTTAAAGAGAATGAAATCAAAAAATGTCTATTCGATGGAAACCAAATGCTGCCACTAATTAGGGGATCTGAAACCACACATAATTAATGACTTCATTAATTATCAAATTAGATAAATGAGGCAGAATGACTTCAAAATCCACCAGTATTTGAATACCGAGTAAACTCCTCTTAAATGAAGAAAGCCTGATATAAAAATGCACAAGAATTCGTCAAAGACAGTTATTAGAAACCTAATATGGCTCATTTTGGTTGAATAATGACTGGACAGCGTTTATTTTAGTGTATGTTTTTAATAGTTCATCATACTAGAGGAATTCATACACAGGGATTAGAAAGTGGATTTCATCAAGATCAACACAGCAGGAAAAACTATAAAAACTGTCAGTGCAAAACTCAAATCTCCATGTATTTATACAACTATTAGATCTGCAGATCATCCAGCATTAAAAAACATAAACATGTAAAATACAGGTTAATACTGCAGTGTGTCTGGAAACTTTTATTTGTCATGTATTCCAGTAGAAAAAAAAAATCCTAAACATGTGTAAAACAAGATAAGTGTATTCTTTTTCTTCCTCAAAATGTTTCAAAAAGTCAATTTGACAAAATTTGACAAAAAAAAAAACATTGATTTATTTATTTATACTATATGATGTACAATACTTGTCAAAAGTTTACTGTTTTTAATGTAGTTTCTTTTGCTCACCAAGTCTGCATTTATTTGATCAAAAATCTGAAAAAAGCAGTAATATTGTGAAATATTATTAGAATTTTAAATAGCTGTGTTCTATGTGAATATCTGTTAAACTGTAATTTATTTATGTGATCAAAGCTGTATTTTCAGCATCATTCCTCCAGTCTTCAGTGTCACATGATCTTCAGAAATCATTAATACACAGCTATTCCAAATTGTAATATTTCACAATATTACTATTTTTACTGTATTTTAGATCAAATAAATACAGCCTTGGTGAGCATAAAAGGCTTCATTACAAACATTTAAAAATCCTAATGTTTCCTCTTTTTGATAACGACGTTTAGATATTTTTCAGGAAAACTTTTTATTGATTAATTAAGGATTTTAGCAGTGTTTGTTCATAGAAACCTATCTAAAATAAAATAACAGTTTAAGTCCCGAGTGATCATCTGATTAGCTGTGTGTATTTCACTACTGTAATATCTGAAGGAATCATAACCAGCTGCTTTTCTTTGATCAAAAGCAGATATTTCCATTTAGTAATGTCAAATCAAACGGTGCGCATGGATAATCAGCTGAATTTGGCCTCATCAACATCCTTGCGATTTCAAGGCATCTGAAGCGACTTCCAGTGTTTAACAAGCCAACATTATTTCCATGGATGAAGCAATTTAGTAAACTACAAGGTATAAAAGTTAAATATGGTTGTGGTTCCAAGTGATTACAATTGATCTTTGTGTTCATCCAGAAATGAAACGAATGCCGTGACTTTAGGGTGTTCCCAGTGACTTAAAATACAAATCAGATGATGTTAAACTGATACAAATGTGAATGTAGCGTTTAAAGGACACTGCAGATGTGACGTGGCAGGATTGTGTGTTCTGAGGTAAAAGGCTTAGGATGGGGTCAGAGGTCACTCAGGTCAGGTCGTCTCGGCCGTAGTTTATCGGCTGCAGCTGCTTGACCACATAGTCTGCGATCTGACGTGTCCCAGCGGCCACAACCCGTCTGGACATGAGGTCAAGCGGGCCTCCTAGCACACAAACCAACAAGAACACTGAACTAATGAAGCCACTGCTGATTCTCCAACTCCAACCAATAAACACTTTGAGAATATATATGTGACCCTGGAGCACAAAACCAGTCGTAAGGGTACATTTTGTGAAACTGAGATTTATGCATCATCTGAAAGCTTAAGCTTTCCATTGATGTATGGTTTGTTAGGATAGGACAATATTTGGCTGAGATACAACTATTTGAAAATCTGGAATCTGAGGGTGCAAAAAAATCTAAATATTGAAAAAATCATCTTTAAAGTTGTTCAAATTAAGTTCTTAGCAATGCATATTACTAATCAAAAATTAAGTTTTGATACATTTACGGTAGGACATTTACAAACTATCTTCATGTTTTATTTTATTTTATTTGGGGTCTTTATTTTTTCTATTCCTAGTTTATATTAATTTATATATTTTTTTATATCTTTTTTATTTTATTTAGTTTAGTTCTTTCTGGTGCAGCTATGTCTGTCAGCCTGCTGATTTCACAGTATGTCATCATAACTATATTTTCGACCCAGTTCAATCGTCACGCAAATGTAAGATGACAATCTGGGCATGATTACAATAATGTCACTGTATACAAAACTACATCGGTTGGATAACAAAGAACATCTAGACTGTGAGGAAATCTTTGGCTTTATTTTAGGACTTTTACGTGGAAGCGATATTCCTCTCAGACCTAACCGGCCTCCCCAACAAAGCCTCTTTGTGTCGCCTCACACACAGACATGCCATGAACCGTCCCACCTCAGAACACACACACTCTCTCACACACACACACACACACACACACACACTCACACACACACACACACACACACACACACACACACACACACACACACACACACTCACACACACACACACACACACACACACACACACACACACACACACACACACACTCACACACACACACACACACACACACACACACACACACACACACACACACACACTCACACACACACACACACACACACTCACTCACACACACACAC